AAGCATTGTTTTAAAGCTAGTATTAAGCAGATGGATAATTTTTAAAGATGTCAAATTCCTTTTCTAAAAAAATATCATTCCTGATTTTCAGTTTTATGTATGGTCATAGGTCAAATAATCATAATGAATATAAATACAATAATAATTCAGACAAAGAGTAATGTCTTTAGAATTCTAGATTTAGGATTAAGAAGAAAGTAACTATTTTGAAATGGAAAAGGAACAAATTGCACATAATTTGGTAACACATCAGAGTACATACACATGCTTCTCTCGATTTTTCAGTGGCATCATATGTTGTAATGCAAAAGCATGGCTGTATATCTTTATTTTGGGTAATGTTTTATACATGCTGGAGTGATGAGGAAAAAGAATGGTTTCTTATTTTTAGAAATAGAATAACTTTGCTACAGCAGAGGCTTAGAACAACTCCTCTGCTCATACACTTATGCTATGTGAGATAACTTGCATCCACACTGTGCTAGTATATAGGATACAGAATTAAGAATGATCTTTACCTCTCCAGAAGGACAGCTAAATCCAGGTAAACACTTTTTATTTAGTAGTGACATTTTCTTTAGGTGTCATTTGGCATTAATTTTAATATCTTTTTTTTGTCACTGCAATAACAATTGAAGAATAGATGCATGTAAAGATGTTCAAGTTCTGGGAATGTGCTTGGCAATGATGTTCTATTCTCTTGATGACTTGTGCTAGAGAGGCAATGGTGTGTTGCAGCAATTTACCAATTAGCAATTGTTTCAAAGTTCCCTGGCGATAAGCATTATGAGGTATCCAGATATTAAGCTGAGCAGGACAGATAGAAGCATGTGTAGCTTTTTCCTCAATCAGTTCTAGTAAAATCACCAAGATACAGAAAATCCTGGAATATCTTAGAATTACATATGGGGGAAATGGATGGCAGATCATCTGGAAATGCCAAGGATTTATGACCTGGAGTGGAATAGACTCCAAAAAAAATCATTGCAACCATAAATGATCCCTATTCAGCTAGCAGCAGTGCAAACTGAACTGGCTGTGAAGAGATCACGCTCACTAAAAGAAGATAGTTTGCATGACACTGCTGTTGTTCATCCTAGCATTTAGAAAATCAAAATACTGACATGGATGAATCTTGTCCAGAATTTTACACTGAAAATAATGAAAAGAATATTTCATGAGGGCTAAACAAACTTTGTAATAGTCAGGTCTTCCCACACCCAAAATATGATAAACTACTCTGAAATCAGATAGGTATTTGAGGGTGGCAGGCAGAATTATGCATTTTGACACATACTTTGCAAAGCACCTCAAAAACACAGGCAACTTCAGGAAACTTAGGAATACTTCTTTTCCATCTTTCCAAGTTTTGCATATTTCCCTCTACCAAAGGTAATCATGTAAGATGCAGGATTCAAGAAGTGACCTTTCACTGAAGCTCACACTACCATGTTCATTTTTGGTTCTGTGAGACCTGTGACCCTCTACAGAACAGGGTACAACATTTAGATGTCGTCTTCCAGGAAGGAGAACAGTCAATAAAGAAGCAGGAAAAGCAGGGCTAACCAATGAACATTTTGCTCTGCATTTGGAAAAACAACAGAGGGTCTGATTGCAGCACATCATTAATAAGCTTATCAAGCATCTCCAAAGCATGTATAGAAAGTTGCAAAATGGCCACTTTTAAAGCTAGACATACTAGAATTCATCAGACCTAGGTAAGGTAAATGTAATTTTTAAAACAGGTAGCTCAATCTTTTTAGATGACTAGCTGACTTTCACTAACTCTTACCACACAGGTAGTTGTAAAACCAGTCAAATAAAGTTACTGGTACATGAATGCTAAAAAAAGGGAATAACCAGAATATTTATATTATATATATATAATATATATTTACACACACATACTTTTTAAAAATACTAATAGTGTAAATATATATATATATTTACATAGACACTTTTTAAAAATACTGATAGTGTAATGCTGATTGCTGCAGAATATCTGAGGGTCTGATATTTTTTTCCCTAATATCCTAATGTAGGATTCTGGAACAACAAATAAAAGAAGGGAAAAATAACTATTAATTCTATAACTATTCAATTTTGTCCTTTCGTAAAAAAACAGAGCTAACACCCTACCTTTATCTGATAAAGTCAAAATTAACTTTCCCTGGGAAGAACACAATTCTAGCTGAAAAAAAAAAGTTGATATAATGAAAAATAGAATTCTGCAAGTATTTTTTGACTATTGATTTTGAGACAAGTATCCAAAGCTAAGAAAGCACTGTCAAAGACGAAAATTCATCAACTGGCAGGTCTCAAAATGGAGTAATATGTAAAGATTCATCACAAAAGGCGAGCTTCTTGTGAGGTCTGAAGCATATGACACCTATTTAAACATTTTATCAGTTATGATGGAGAGTCATTTTAAGATTTGCAGAAGACATAATAATAATGACACAAATTAGAAAGAATGTACTAGGAAACTCATTCATACAAAGTAATTTGGCTAACATAGCTAGAGTGGTGCAGTTAAGTAAAGCAACAGCTGAGACAGCTAATACAATCTTCCAGTTTGCACACTGTGAGCTCCTACACTAGGATGCATAGATTTTATGTTGTTTATATTTGATATGTACTGGAAAAAAAAATACCAAGTCCATTCCAGAGACCATAAAATAGCCTGAAGGAATTTAATACAAATTGCTAAATACACATAGAAAAGTTAAGTGGTAATTTGGACACACGGACACAATCTCAGAGTATCTAATGACCTAACTCTCATGGAAATCCTCTTCTAAATCTGAGGCCTAAGCCTGAACAGTGTAAACCTAAAAAGGGAGGTGTGTAACCACCAGGCATCAGCAGCATCTAGATTGAAAAGAACACAGCGAACACTTGAGTCAGCTTTATTGGAGATGAAGGGAGAAGGAATATCTCCCTTTCACAGTTCGGCATCTCCCAGGGCTGAGCTCAAGTTTGGAAAGTGAAACAGTTTCATATTTGGTAAGAGGAGAACATCTTCATCACACATTACTACCTTAATAGAACACATGCAAAACAAACAGGTATATGAATGATAAAAGGTACACACCTTCCATATATGGAATGCATATATTGTATTCAAACATACTGCAGTTTTAAGTGTTTTCTATTGGGGGAAAAAAAAATGTAGAAGATAATTTCATCTGATTTATTATGAAATCTGATATTTTACAAGGAACTTAACATTTTCACTCCTGTATACAAGATTTCCTGCCAACACTGTCATCTTTATGAGGGGCTCAGCCAATGACATCAAATTAAGTGCTGAACACACAATTCAGTGTAACGCAGTTAGAAATCAGAACTCCTACTTTTTGAAAATTGATTTATTTTGTGAACCTGATCAAGTCACTTCAGAAACAGACTTTGGAAAGCTGTCATGTATATACCAAAACAACCTGCCCTTATACTCTCCAAACTAAACTAAAAAAAAAAATCCTCAGGAAAAAAAGGAAGAAAACTACAGACATGCGAAGAGGGATACAAAATGCAGCATAGTAAGATGTTTAAAAACTGATAGGCAATAATTTAAAATACACAAAAGAAAATATTTTAAAAAGACATATTAGCTTGCAATGTATCAAGAAGCTAAAGTTGCTCAACTTAAAGCAGGCCCTGTAGACTGCTGCACAAAACTTTAACAATAATACATGGGCATTTCAGTAGAGGCTATGTGCAAGACAACCAGAGACTCTGTTCAGTGCTACCTCTTTACTTGTGTGATTGTAATCATTTGTAATCATTGTTAATCATTGTAATAATGATAAACAAACTGCAAATGTGTGTTAAGTGAATACTCAGTACCAAACTTTTCCTGAAAGAGGCAGGATCTTAACGCTTGTAGCAACGTGGCCAGTCTTTTAATTCGCTACAGCCAGACCGGAAACCAAGTCCAAGCAACAGGCATTTTATATTCATTGTTTAAATAGGAGACAGTAAAAGAAATGCCTTTGAGGAGTAAAGTAAGCAGCTAATGAGATACAGCACTGACAGATGGAATTTAATAAGTATTCACTTCACAAGGAAAACTGCTCTTAGTAATTAAATACAGGTATCATGCAAGGCCTCTGCTTAGAGCCAGACATCAAAATCATTCTGACAGTAGGATGCTTTACATCCCAAGAAATGTAAAGGTGACTTTGCCTGGAAGGCTATTCTTAAATGAAGAAGGTTAATAGCATAACATTCATAGTCACATCAATTCCAAAGGGACTTGTTCAGATAGTAATCTGGCATTAGTGAAAAACAGACTGTAACTAAAAAGACCTGCTATGAAGTTCGACAAAACCTGAGACATATAAAAAGTTTATTAAGCATTGCAGAACTGAAATACAAAATAGGATCTCTTTAGAGGGATGTAAAATTCTTTTTGCTACAGGGCCATAAAATTCTACCTAGGAAAATTTTAAACAATCTTCTAATTAATCATAGGACTTTATAACCTCTCATAAGCTATAAGTAAAACATTAACAAGGATGGGGGGAAGGAAATCTTCTTTATACTAAACCTGATTTCCAGTCCTAACATATCTCTCTGGATAAATCACGTTACGACTTTGTAAGGGATACTAGCACATACGGATGGTGTTCTAGAGTTGCAGTCCATAAATGAAAGAGAGTGTAAGTCTATAACTTACTGTTATTTCTGCTATTTTCTGGGCAAGCAGTTCATTTATTTATCTGTAATTTGTGGGAATACTAATCAATCACATAATGTATTCTTAACATAATAAATCCCACATCCCTGAAGAGATACCTTGATCTTCACTTAATTATAGCAGTCCAAATACAGCTGTGAAGGCATCAAAAGAAGAAAGGAGTGGGTTTTTTTCAATACATCTTTAGTGTATTGCTAAATGGAGCAAATTTGCATTTACTCAGATATAACATAATTATACTGCTGTATTTCACTCTGTGTAAAAGAGTAATGACTGGACAATACAGGTTTCAACCTACCTCATGGTACATGGGTACATCCTTAACTTTTTTTCCCTTTTGATTTCCAGCTTCCATGATCTACAGGAAAAGAAAGTTGAGTGTTTTTTTAAAAAATAAATAAATAATTTTACTTTTGTGTAAACTCCACATTCACACTTCAAAATGCTGAGGAATCATCTCAAGATATCCTCTGTAGCTTAAGAGAGAAGCTTTGATCATTAGTACCTTAAAGAAAGTCTACACTAAACCAAAGTATTTATGGGAAGACCACCAGCTTACACAGGTAGCTTTTCTGCTTCCATTTGTAACTCTTAAAATCAGTGTAATTTTTATAGCTTCCAACAGTGCTATTCTATTATTTTATGTACATATATATACACACAGACATATATACAAACACACACACACATATACATACATGTGATTTGAAGTTACCACTTACCAAAAAAGCATTGCATATCATCATTGCATATCATCAAAAACAGAACTGTTATCTAGTGTTTGGCTTGTTTCTAAATGCTGAGGGTTTTTTTGTTTGTTTTATTTTTTATAATACCTGTTTGATAATGTCTTCCTGTCTTATCACACTGAAGAGCTTCCGCTGTGGCACCTGCACAGCAAGAGACAGGGCCTTTATGTGTATTTCATCTTCAATTTTGCTCCCAACAACAAAAGCAATGCTAGGTTTCCACACATCCTATTTCCAAAATAAAACATTTAGTGTGTTAAAATACAAGCAAACAAAAACATTTTTGTGTAGTTTCAAGGAGTCAACCCGTAGAGATCATTAGTCTCCTAAGGCATAATTAATATCACCATACTTATTACATCAACATAACCTCTAGACAACCTGAAAAAGCATGTTGTCATTTGTCTCAATTGCTTCCACCATCAGATGGCAGCATTATGCTGTGGAAAACAAAAAAACGAGTAACATATAAATCTTCCAGGCAGATGTTCACCCATGTATTTGAAGATTCGACAGTTTTTTTTTTTTTTTTTTGATAGCAAAGATAAAGAAAGAAAAGACAATGGTATGAATACATATATTTAGATTTATACTTCTTGTTTGCTCATCAATTTCATTTCCGTTATCTAGGGAATTAGAAAATTTTGCAATACTACTTTCTGAAAATTTCAGCATTATTTCACTATTTTCAAAATAGACTGCATACCCATGGCTCTTACCTGCTTTCATTTAAATATTCTGAACTAAGAAAATATATATTACTGGCAAGTTATATTTCACTAAAATATAATCAGACAGAAAACTCTAGCAGATTGCACACACTTCCAGTAAAATACACATATAGTATCATGGACAAAGAAAAGCAAGAAACAAACAAACCACTGCTTTCACCATTAAAGAAATGTAGAATAAAAACATATTGTAACATTGCTTTAGTGATATACATTCATTATTCAAAGCAGCTTCATTTCAGAAACTTCTGTTATATAAATATATTCCTGTTGTCTTCTCAATTTCTTTCACCTTAGCCTATCAGAATCCCTTGTAACCTTTCATAACATGAGTGCATATCTCCAGTACAGCTATGCGTCTCCCTAGAGTCTTCTCTATCAGCATCAATGGTACCTAAACTAGAAATATCCTCCAGTTTTTGCACTTTCCACTCTTCACAAATCATCAAAAATATTTTCCTTTGCATATCTGCATCTGTAATATGCAAGGTCAGCAGTGAAGGTAAACACTGAAAGTTTCAGTAAAACCAAGCTAGTCCCAGGAAAATGTTAGGTTACTAGGACCAGACTAAGAAGAATCACGTCAGCCAATGTGTGTAGTGGTAAGGAGAGACTTTAAAGACAGGCTTTGACAGGATAGTCCTTTAGCATTTGGATGTAAATATTTTTACATGCATATAACACATAAAATATATAGACATCTTTCTGCTGAAGAGAGGAATAAAACATGAATGATGGCAGAGCAAGGGAAAAGAGCTTAAAAAGTAGTTAGACATAAGCAACAGGATTAATATTGTCTTGTTTCAGAATCATTATTTCCGTCTTCATTTGTTCCTCTTCCTTCTCTCAGATGGAGAAAAACATCTTACTTTAAATGCTTGTATTTTGACTAATAGAGGAAGAGAGAGACTTCTAATGTTGCATTGAGAGGAATGGCTTACAATAACATAAGGTAACAAATCATAACTTCACATGAAAATGGCACAATTTGATTACACATTGTGACATCACACATTTTTTCTTTTACCTACTAGATATTCATAGAAACAGAACAGTGGGAAAGGCCACACAAATCCCTAAGTGCAGTCTTCTGAAACGTCATTGTCTGACAGATCCCAGCTTTCTCCATGCTCAGATTCCTTGTCCAAGCTGCTATTCTCTAGTCCCTCTCATATTCAGATTTATATTTGAGTAATAAGAAATTCTCCTTCAGAATACTTATGCATTCCCTGGGAATAAAAGCAAAGTTTTTTTGTTTCGTTTTGTTTTTTGATTTCCCACTGCCACAGCTGCCTGTAGCATCAAAGCAAAACATCAGGATCAGGAGCCCTGCTTGTGAAAAATTAACTTTTAAAAAAACTTACATCCAAAAACAAACACTCTCAGAGGTTCAGCAAAAGACAGCCGCTTGACATCAGTGTGTCATTTCTATCTTCCCCCTGTCAATTGCTTATTTCAAAGAAACAAGCTGCTAGAATAGATACAACAATATTTATAATAACTACATAGTCATTTTACTGTATAACTGTATATGAATATATTATTAATATGTTGTCCAGACTTAACAGTCAGTTAATAGCAAGTCCTCTTTTTCCATTGACCCATCATTTTTCAGAAAAGCTGAGTATCCAAAACAGCAACTGAAGTCTATGAGAATACTGAATGTGTAGCATTAATATATTGTTTACAGAGTTTTACTACCTTTTTTCTAAACTTAAAAATTTATTATTTTGTTATATTGTCCTTATCAATACCGTAACATTACCCTTAATATTCAAGGCACTGAAAGGACAGAAAAAAAACAGCCTGCTTCCATAGCTAAAAATATATGTAAAATACAATAACATAAAAATAAGAAGGAAAACAAGAATATTTATTGTAAAAATACCTTCTCTCTCAATATAAAACTGTTCCTCCACTTTTCTTAATTATTTCAGTTATTATTGTAGAAGTGGGACTTGAGATAGGATCTGAAGGAGGACAAATATTTTACATTAGGGCTACCTTAAATGAGGTTCCTATCTCAAAAGAGAGCAGAAACTGTAACAAATACTGAAAAAGCATGGAAATGGCCTATAGAGAAAGGAGATAGCTGAGAAAAGATTGATGCTGCAAACATTGGTAAATTAACACATGTGCTTGGACCTCCCTGTAATTCCTAACTTGAAGGCATCAAATTAAAATTGTCATAAACAGCACTATTTCCCCATTTGAAAACTCCTGAGCATGTCAAGAGCTGAAACATATGGAAACCTCCCTCAATGTCAGAAATAACCATCTATGGGCAAGTTGGTGCATCCCTCAGAAGATGAAACTCCAGTTCTAATTTCTCTGCGAGCTCCGCATAAACAGCGGGTCATTTTCTAAAGTCACACCTTTACATGGCTGTCCTTTTCCTAATTTAATTCTCAAGCCTTCGTCATATCCCCATGTAATTTGACTTTTTTTTTTTCAAACCAGTAAAACATTTTGATTCTGATACATGTAGTCTATATTTCCTATTTGTCATAGTAGTACTGAAATAACAGCAGTATTTAAAAAACAAAAAACCAGATCTTGTGTTCTCTGCTTAAGCTCCTAGAGACAAGAGGACAGCTGTTCTAGAGAAAACATTTGCTAAAGGGAGGTAAGAGAGGTTAAAAAATGTGGCTACTTTTGCAGTACTAGTTTCTAGATTTTTTTTTTTTTTTTTTTGATGAGAAAAGCTCCTCAAATCGTCTCAACATCCCTTTTTAAGTAGTATAACTATCTGTCATTTTGCAGTGTCACTTAATCTTGTGGAATTTTATGGGTTTTTTTTTTTTTTTTCCTCCCCCTCTCCTTATGGTCACAGTTAATAGGTTCATTACACCGCAATTTTAACCTGAAGTGTAAGGGTTGAAAAAACAAAATTTTGAAAGCAAAAACCCCAAACAGTTGAGCATCAAAAGGCAAGTGTCTTGATTTTTAAGTGATGTCTCAGAAATAGTGAGCTTTAGTAGTGATTTATGAACACTTAAGACAACACCACTTCCGGCATTCTTTGCTTTCAACATTCAGAGAGCTTTTAAAGCAGTAAATACAGCAGGCGTTACTGGGAAAAGATTACTCATGAGACATTTCTGTAGTGCCAAGGAGGAAGCTACCGTGTAGGGTACCACTGCCGAGAAAACGCCAAATCCACTTCCCTTCCGTGCTGATGGAATACTACCACTGCTCACACTACCACTGGGTTCTGGTTTTGAGGACCTAAGCCTCTGCTATTTGTGCAGGTTACAGAACATCCAAATTCAACTGAATGTCAATTCTTTTCCAGAGATAAAGGACTACAAGTAGTAATCAAAAGCACAATCCCCTTCTTAGAGCATTTTTAACAGTTTTACGAGGCTTCGTTCTTATCTGATTTTCAGACCCTAAAATGGCAATATAGAAGCAAAATCATAGGCAAAAGTGGACTCCGGTTCCTGTTGCTACTACAACAGTAACTGATAAGGATATATAAAACCTAATAATTTCAATTGCTAGGGCAGCAAATGTTGCCTTTTAAGTATCACACAAAGTTTAAAACTAAGCATCTTAAATTATGTTTTGCAATTTAATTCTCCATTGAATCCAATCAAAATATTTTGATGAACCTCTGAAGGATAACACAACTTGTAGTTCCATAGCACATCAGAAACAAGCAAAAAAGGATAAAATATTACGTATAAAAAGACAAACCAAAATGCAAAGCACTGTCAAATCCGTATGTGTTCTGTACATATTTTTGAGTAGTCTCTTTGCCAGTTTTCACAGTGTATTTAGTAAACGTAATTATTTGTTTAATAAATACTATTTAAACCGTATTTTAGTTAGCATGCCTGCCCATAAAATATTAACACCACTGGAAAAATAACTCCTTTTCAAACATCAGCCCAATAAAATTCTGTAAGTCATAAACACACATTAAAATGCTTGGCCTAAAAGGAAAGAATATTCTCTATTTGAAAAAGTCAAAGATTTCAAAGTATATTATATATAAATTAAGAAGAGAGAAATGTATTTAATTCACTGCATTCCTGTTATCTCTCAAATAATTTAAGATTCATAGAACATATGACATACAATGCTGAGGAGCAGCAAGAAATAATTTGAGAAGCGTGTCTTGTAGCAACTACAATTAAAGTTGCTCAACACTCTCAGTTTTCAGTTCTGACCATTAAATATTTGGGCTTAACTCTTCTACACTACAGGGAGAAAGGAAGGAGGGAGCACGGGAGAAGAAGATGGTATGGTTGCTATTTGTCAGAATGATGTGAGATTAAAAAAAAAAAAAAGTAACTTTTGCACTTTGTATAACTTTGTATATACTTTATATAACTTTTATACTTTTATATAACTTGATGATTAAGTAATTGAGATATTCAATCCCCTCCATATTGAAGAAGAAGGATATGGCAGCACAGACACATTTTTGTCAAGGATGTGCTTTTACTGTTTACATAAAATTTGGCTATGCTGGAGAAGTCTCAACTCACGATTTGCTAGCATTTGACAGGCACTAAAAAAAAAAAAAAAAAAAAAAAAAAAAGGAGAAGGAGGGGAAAAAAAGCCCAGCACTCACAGCCAGAAAGAAAGAAGAAAGGGTAGAATTTAGCCAGAATGTAAAATGGACAGACAATACCAACTTAAGGAATCTTAAATCACCTCCTTAATTATGGGTATTATGATAATCCTTAATTAGACGATCTCACATTTTTCTCCTATGCAATTCCTGCCCCATTCAGCAAACATTTCTTTCCATCTGCCTCAATGGGTGGTCCTGAATAAGCCTAATTTTGCCATCTGCTAAGTTCAGTTCAACCTTTTAAAATATTTCAGTATAATTATTTGTATTAAAAAATATAATAAGCTGTACATAAAAGCGGTAGGAAAAAAAAAAAAAACAGAGCACTTTCTGCAGCAAATTCTCTGGACAACATCCACAACCATAATAAACACCCCTATAAAACACTGCTAATTGGCATCTTACTAATAAGCTCCGCAAAAAGGCTGGGAACTGCCTTGGAGAGCGAACCTCCACCCCTCCTCACACTTTAGGGTGATTCTCCTAGGGCTGGGATGAGATTCACAGAGAAGAAAGAGCTCAGGTGTCCCTAGACTCTACTGAATAGGGATATTCTAAGGGGGAAACGGGAAACATTAGCCTCAGCTGAGCAGCGCTAAAAATAAACAAACAAACAAAGTAATAAAAAAGTGATTTTGTTTGGTTAAATTTGTGCTATAAGGCTCCTACCAAATCTAAGGAGAAAGGTAGGACATAAGGGACTTTTGACATCTGTGGTGTGCTTGGTAAATGGATTAGCCATTTCTAAAGCTGCAGTCTAAATGCAGAAGTCCTCACTCTTTCCTAGTAGCTGCAGGTACTAAGACAGAAAGTGGGGAGGGAGGCACAATAGGAACCCAACAAACAAGGGGACCATTGAAGTCTTTTGTTTTGCTTCCAGAATTGGTGCTAGATAAATATTATTATTTGCTAAACTACTAACCTGTTTTGAAACCAAACTTTTTCTTGCAAGTTAAGATTTATTAAAATTACATTGCTTACACAGGACCTAGAAAATTAAATATACTTTTAGATCCTCACATTTTTTAAAAAAAAAAAAAAAAACAAAAATCACGTTTTCACTACACACACTCAGGGAGGAAAATTATAGTTTCACATTTTCAACACTACAGTTAATGCTGTGTCAGCACCTCCATCAGACCTCGTTGTTCAGCAGTTTATAAAAAACTGACCCCGAGCCAAAACTTGGCATTCAACGTCTCAAAAAGCATCAAGAAGGGGAACGAAAAGCAAAGGGCGAATCTGGCCGCTTTTCAGCTCTTCAAAGCACCTGAGCGGGAGGTTTATTTCTGTGTGCGGCCCCTTCCCCCCGCCCTGCACTGCGGCCCGCGGCCCGGCCCACACGCTCGCTGCCTCCCGGCAGTCCCGCTGCCGCCTTCACCTCTTCGAGGCGGGCGGACACGAGCGCGGTCTCCCAGCCGCTGCCCGCGGGCCCTGCAGCAGAGCCGCCGCCGCCGCCGGTCTTGGGCCGCTTGGGGCCCATGGCGCCGCCGCCGCCGCCTCGCTCTCTCCTGCGGGTAGCCCCAACGCGGTCGCCGTGGCAACCTGGCGCCCGCGGGGCCACGCCTTCCAGGCACGCCCGCCACGCCGTCGTCATGGCAACCGGGGAGGCATGGCGGGCAGGAGGCGCCGCGGGGAGCGGGACCCGCCCGGGCGGCGCTGCGGGCAGCAGCAACCGTCACGGGAGCAGCAGCCATTTGGCGGCCTCTGTCTTGGTGCTGCCCAGCGGTGAAGGGGCCCGTGTGTTTTCGGGTCCTCCCGTTGCGGACATTTGTGACTGTCGTGGAAAAGATTGGGGGTTGGCCGGCGCAGTTGCTGCCACCTGGGATGCCCTGGGATCCTGCTGCAGTGCAGCGGAGCCCTCTGAGGTGGCAGCTTCACTGTGACCATGTGGAGGTGATGCTGGCCTCTCTTGGGGAATGGTGAGGGCCTCCTGTTGCCTTGTGCTGCAACCAGCGAATTTCCATCCCTCACGTGGCTGCTGAAAGCCAGCTGCCTTGGCATGCCGGGGAAGGCAAGCGAGCAAAGCGAGCTCATGCGTCAGTGCTGGAGCGTGAGCCCCGCACGGCCGCCAGCCGCATGGCGCCGGGGTGGGCGGCGCAGGTGTGGGCAGCAGAGCCTGCTCCCAGGCCCGAGCTGCGCACCAAGCGCTACCATATGTTGCTGTGCCGTGCCCAGAAAGGGAGAGGGAGGCACAGTTGGGAGAAAGCAGGAGAGCTGCCAAGATAAAGAATTCATTACAGAGGAGTCATGTTGTGATCTCACTAGAGACGAGTGAAATATTCTGTGTGATTTAACATTTGGTGAAAATATCCCAAACCACATGCTGCCCTCCCCCCATCCCATTACACCAACAAGGGTTGCTCTGGGCCTCCAAATCTGTATTTTAATTTCATAGTAGTCTTATAGCCACACTGCGTGCAGTGCATTATTACTTTAGTCTAAACTTCGTTCTAGGATACTGACGCAGTGTGTATCCTTTAATTACAAACTTTAATTACACCTTTGATTACAAACTCTTAGTGCAGAAGCAGAAATTTACATTCATATTGGACATGAGACAAACTTTCTTTTATCATTTTATTATGTTGCAGAATATCTTCCATGGCTTTGCAGACAAGGATGTAGTTTATAAAAAAGGGAAAGCTCTACAGTAAATTTGCCAACATCCATAAATGTTCTTCCCTCTCTCAATTCCTTGGCTGATGTCCATTTTTTCTCATTTTGAGGCTTTCGTTTGTTGTTCAGAAAAAAGTCTTCAGTTCTTCATAGAAGTAGGGAGTGTGATGTTGCCGCTATGCCCTTGCGCTTCATTAAGTCTTGGGTATACAGCATGTGTCTGCTGATGTCCATTGAGAGTATGGGGTGGGAAGACTAGCAGTTGATGTGGTGTAAAGCAGTACAGGTATGTGCATATAATTTGCTCCTGCTGCCCAAGTTGCCATACCCTTATTGCGAAGTGTGCTGCTTAATTTCTGTAGCTCTGTCTTCAGTGCTGGATATGAGCTTCAGGATGACTCAGGAGAGAGGGCTATGTATCCTGTTCCTTAGGGTATGGCTAGACATGTGCTGTACCATGATGTTAACAGGAGAAGAGGACTGCTTAATAGCACTAGCCATTGTGCCTACACCTTCATCTGTATGTTCTGGTTTATTAGGAATGTTAGAAAACATCAATCACTCTGCAGTCTCTGATGTCAGCCTACAAATAGCTCTCATAATATGAACAATAGCTCAGAGAATCATGAACTGGCTCATTTATCTCTATTATGTGTTTGCTTGGATTTAAATTGATTATTTGAAGGAATTTCTGCTGCTTATTGTTTTAGTAAAACCATGTAGTTTACTTGCTGTTTATTACCGCTGAGTGTTGCAGCAAATAGTACATCAAGTTGAAGTAGGACAGCTACTCCTCCAGTGGTTACTGGGAGATTAACAGTGAAATGACCTCCAAGACCATCCTAAAAGAAGAATAGAAAGGAGATATATTTATTCCTTGCTGCAGATGATCATGGGATATAGCCCTAAAATAGCTTCTCTTGCAGTGTGATCAGCTAAAGGCATCTCCTGTTTGGCTGCTCATCACTGACCATTTACTTGTGTTGTCAAAGTTGTTTGTGAAGCCAAGCTATAAACCAGATCATGGAAAGCTTCTAGGTTACATGTGCCAGAACACAAAAATAACAAATCAAAAATATTGGGAAACTACAGCCTTTGTTTCCTCCAAATGGCAATAGACTTCAAAAGGCCTAGTTGTCTCTAGGCCATCTGAAAAACTCCTGCTTCTTTCTGTTGTTTTGAAGTTTAACTTGCTTACATTAACATTGCATACAATTAGCAAAACTGGATGTTGTTCAACTAGATTGATTAGCATGGGATGAAAGAAATGGACAAGTTAAGGATTCAGAGGGAAAGTACTGTAAAGTTTAGGATACTGGTTGCACACACACACACACACACACACAAAAAAAAAAAAAAAAAAAAAGGCCCAGATGTAAACCTGTTCATTCCCAGGTAGCAAAACTGGCCCTGATTTTGATGCAAGAGTTATTGGGTGAATCTGTGAAAACGTGTGTGGATACATGAACAAATGGCAAATGGCATTGGAAAACATGAAGGCGCGAATTTACAATGCATCAGCAATTCTGAATAACGTTCTGTAAATACAAGGTAGCTTGTTTCTCCCTGGAAGAGTGGTTAACTATTGCAGATATTATGAAGTTACACAACAGGAAAAGAAAATGTGCATTGTTAACAGTGGAGTGCAGCTGGACACAATATTTAGCCCAGAATGATTTTTCTTATTAGGTTTACTTTTTACTTCTTTCAGAAAGAAGAAATATTGGTTTCTTTTCACTGTAGGGTGACTTAAAGAACATTTGCACTTTTTCTCCAGTAAAGTGGAGAGAAGAGGGAGACATTACTGTTTGTAAATATTATGTCTTCTCTATTAAATATTTTCTGACTACAGATGACTGAAGAACTCATATTTTGAATTAAAACCTGATCCATTGGGAGGGGAATTAATTTTAGCCATGTTTGTTTTTCTTAAGTGCTTATTTTAAATGCTTAACAAATATTGGGAAAAAAAGACAATCTTTTCATAAAGAACCATCAGCTTCTCTCCTTCAGTTGAGAATTGAGCAAAGAACTTTTTCTGAGTCCTTAAGAGCACACTTGATATTATTATTGCTTTTGTAAGATTTAAATATTTATTGAACAAGGAGGCTTTCTGAGTTATGGTTCCAGAAAGCTTTTCCATGTTGAAAAACTTTCCAGAAGGTTGTCTAGAGCAACCAGCATGACCTTCAGCAGTGCCAAGGAAAACAATACTTCATATTCCTTATGTTTTTAAGAGAAGGTAGTCAAAAAAATCCCTTCTTTTACTGTTCAAATCCTTCTTTTCCTTCTTTACCACTGTAAAGGATGAGTGGGAAGAACATAAAACTCATTTTAGTTTTCAGGCCAGATTCTTTTTTGTTTAGTTTCATGGTGTTATCACTAGACACTTGTCATATAAACACTAGTTGCAGTGTCTAAGCACTGGCATGTTTGCTGGAAGTTTACAAACCCCTAGGACACAGCCATCTCACAAGTTATACACACCTGACAGCTATGGCATGTTTGCCACAGCTTCCCTGAACTTTCCTGTATTAAGCTGGATGTAGGAGGCTTTGGCCTACAGTTGCTGCTCTGGCCACCAAATGATTCCCTGCAATTTATTTCTCAGTCTGGAAACTCATTTATATAATTTGCATAATGCTTCCTGCATGGATTGCATAGATGAATGTGAACCAAATGTCTGTTTTAGCCTTAGAATCTACAGAGCTTATTTCAATGTAAGTAGATCAGAATTGCCATTTGAGTTAAGAATATGCCTTGAAAGGAACAAAAGATAAACTGGCCATATATGTATTAATGATCTTGCCTTTTGGATGTGGCATGGTGCACTTACATTTCTAGTGTCAAAATATCATTTCATAATGATTGAGTACCAAGCTTAGGAAAGCAATAAAATAAACTCTCCTCAGATTGTAATATACTTTCCTAATATAATAAGGATGATACTGAATTGTGAAAGTATGTGAGGATAGTTAGAGAGAAAGGAAGCAGTTAAACTGTAAAGACAAATTCCAGCTGTATAGAGAGCTACCGTGTCAGGTCTATACATCACATAAGAAGGCCTACCATCTGAAATGGGGCCACTCTATTTGCAGCACAACAGATCTAGCCAGATAAGTACATGACTAAAGCCAGCCCAGCTAATAAAGTCAAAATCAGACCAAGCTGTAGATACATTCCCTCAGGCTCTAGCATTTAGTGCTGGCCTGGCCTAGTGATTTTAACCATTTTAAATGATTTTTTTTCTTACATACTTTCCGTTGAGTTACAAATGTATGTAGCTTCTGTCATTTATCATAAGCCTATCATGCCAAACAGATCAAATTTCCTTTAGACATCAAGGTTTCCATTTAAGAACCTCCACCAACTATTTATTTATTTATTTACTTATTACTAAAACTTATTACAAAGCACTGTATTTAAATTTGAAAAAGATGATTTTATAATCTAGTCTCTCCCACGCCTGTGTGTGCCAGGAGAATGCTTTTTCCTCTGCATAGCTAATGATATGAGGATTCCTGGCAAAGCTGAAAATGGAATCCATTATTGTATGCCAGTAAGCTAGCTTCTAAATCCTATCTGGATGCTATGCAACAGTCTCTTTAAAGAAAACTGCCTCTGCTTTTGAGATTGTATATCTGCTGGTTGTAGGTAACTCAGTAGTAGTAGTAGTACTCAGCACTAATCACTAGTCTTCCTCAGCCAAACAAAGCAAAGTCTAAATAAATGGAAATTGAAACAATATATTCTTATTGGTGCAATAATAAAATGGTTTCTAATACATTAAAAACAAACATTACCGCTACGGAGAGTAAACACACTTAAGATCTATGCCAGCCAGAGCTTGCACTAAAAATATAGTGAGAGGTGGAAAGGCATGGTGGGTTTGTTTGTTTATTTTTTAAGAGGAAGAAATTATTTCAAAAAAACATGTAATCTCCACTGGAGTTACAGTAATTGAACTGCTAGAATCAT